AGTCTATAGTCTAGTCTATAGTCTAGTCTATGTCTAGTCTATAGTCTAGTCTATAGTCTAGTCTATAGTCTAGTCTATAGTCTAGTCTATAGTCTAGTCTATAGTCTAGTCTATAGTCTAGTCTATTAGTCTAGTAGTCTAGTCTAGTTCTATAGTCTAGTCTATAGTCTAGTCTATAGTCTAGTCTATAGTCTAGTCTATAGTCTAGTCTATAGTCTAGTCTATAGTCTAGTCTATAGTCTAGTCTATAGTCTAGTCTATAGTCGAGTCTATAGTCGAGTCTATAGTCGAGTCTATAGTCGAGTCTATAGTCTAGTCTATAGTCTATCTATAGTCGAGTCTATAGTCGAGTCTATAGTCTAGTCTATAGTCTAGTCTATAGTCTAGTCTATAGTCTAGTCTATAGTCTAGTCTATAGTCTAGTCTATAGTCTAGTCTATAGTCTAGTCTATAGTCTAGTCTATAGTCTATAGTCTAGTCTATAGTCTAGTCTATAGTCTAGTCTATAGTCTAGTCTATAGTCTAGTCTGTAGTCTAGTCATTAGTCTAGTCTATAGTCTAGTCTATAGTCTAGTCTAGTCTAGTCTAGTCTATAGTCTAGTCTATAGTCTAGTCTATAGTCTAGTCTATAGTCTAGTCTATAGTCTAGTCTATAGTCTAGTCTATAGTCTAGTCTATAGTCTAGTCTATAGTCTAGTCTATAGTCTAGTCTATAGTCTAGTCTATAGTCTAGTCTATAGTCTAGTCTATAGTCTAGTCTATAGTCTAGTCATAGTGTAGTCTATTGTCTAGTCTATAGTCGAGTCTATAGTCGAGTCTATAGTCGAGTCTATAGTCGAGTCTATAGTCGAGTCTATAGTCTAGTCTATAGTCTAGTCTATAGTCTAGTCTATAGTCTAGTCTATAGTCTAGTCTATAGTCTATAGTCTAGTCTATAGTCTAGTCTATAGTCTAGTCTATAGTCTAGTCTATAGTCTAGTCTATAGTCTAGTCTATAATCTAGTCTATAGTCTAGTCTATAGTCTAGTCTATAGTCTAGTCTATAGTCTAGTCTATAATCTAGTCTATAGTATAGTCTATAGTCTAGTCTATAGTCTAGTCTATAGTCTAGTCTATAGTCTAGTCTATAGTCTAGTCTATAGTCTAGTCTATAGTCTAGTCTATAGTCTAGTCTATAGTCTAGTCTATAGTCTAGTCTATAGTCTAGTCTATAGTCTAGTATATAGTCTAGTCTATAGTCTAGTCTATAGTCTAGTCTATAGTCTAGTCTATAGTCTAGTCTATAGTCTAGTCTATAGTCTAGTCTATAGTCTAGTCTATAGTCTAGTCTATAGTCTAGTCTATAGTCTAGTCTATAGTCTAGTCTATAGTCTAGTCTATAGTCTAGTCTATAGTCTAGTCTATAGTCTAGTCTATAGTCTAGTCTATAGTCTAGTCTATAGTCTAGTTAATAGTCTTGTATATAGTCTATACTCCAGTCTAGCCTCTAGTGCACACTGTAGTCTTTAATTTATAATTCAGTCTATAGTCTAGTTTATAGTCTAGTCTATAGTCTAGTGTATAGTCTAGTCTATATACTATATAATATAGTCTATAGTCTAGTCTATAGTATAGTTAATAGTCTATAGTCTAGTTAATAGTCTATAGTCTAGTTATAGTCTATAGTCTAGTTATAGTCTAGTCTATATTCTAGTCTATAGTCTAGTCTATAGTCTAGTCTATAGTCTAGTCTATAGTCTAGTCTAAGTCTAGTCTATAGTCTAGTCTATAGTCTAGTCTATAGTCTAGTCTATAGTCTAGTCTATAGTCTAGTCTAAAGTCTAGTCTATAGTCTAGTCTATAGTCTAGTCTATAGTCTAGTCTATAGTCTAGTCTATAGTCTAGTCTATAGTCTAGGTCTATAGTCTAGTCTATAGTCTAGTCTATAGTCTAGTCTATAGTCTAGTCTATAGTCTAGTCTATAGTCTAGTCTATAGTCTAGTCTATAGTCTAGTCTATAGTCTAGTCTATAGTCTAGTCTATAGTCTAGTCTATAGTCTAGTCTATAGTTAGTCTCTAGTCTAGTCTATAGTCTAGTCTAGTCTAGTCTAGTCTAGTCTATAGTCTAGTCTAGTCTATAGTCTAGTCTATAGTCTATAGTCTAGTATAAGTCTAGTCTAGTCTATAGTTTAGTCTATAGTCTAGTCAATAGTCTTGTCTATAGTCTTGTCTATAGTCTAGTCTACAGTCTAGTCTACAGTCTAGTCTATAGTCTAGTCTATAGTCTAGTCTATAGTCTAGTCTATAGGTCTAGTCTAGTCTATAGTCTAGTCTATAGTCTAGTCTATGGTCTAATCTATAGTCTAGTCTATAGTCTAGTCTATAGTCTAGTCTATAGTCTAGTCTATAGTCTAGTCTATAGTCTAGTCTATAGTCTAGTCTATAGTCTAGTCTATGGTCTAATCTATAGTCTAGTCTATAGTCTAGTCTATAGTCTAGTCTATAGTCTAGTCTATAGTCTAGTCTATAGTCTAGTCTATAGTCTAGTCTATAGTCTAGTCTATAGTCTAGTCTATAGTCTAGTCTATAGTCTAGTCTATAGTCTAGTCTATAGTCTAGTCTATAATCTAGGTCTATAGTCTAGTCTATAGTCTAGTCTATAGTCTAGTCTATAGTCTAGTCTATAGTCTAGTCTATAGTCTAGTCTATAATCTAGTCTATAGTATAGTCTATAGTCTAGTCTATAGTCTAGTCTATAGTCTAGTCTATAGTCTAGTCTATAGTCTAGTCTATAGTCTAGTCTATAGTCTAGTCTATAGTCTAGTCTATAGTCTAGTCTATAGTCTAGTCTATAGTCTAGTCTATAGTCTAGTCTATAGTCTAGTCTATAGTCTAGTATATAGTCTAGTCTATAGTCTAGTCTATAGTCTAGTCTAGTCTAGTCTAGTCTAGTCTATAGTCTAGTCTATAGTCTAGTCTATAGTCTAGTCTATAGTCTAGTCTATAGTCTAGTCTATAGTCTAGTCTATAGTCTAGTCTATAGTCTAGTCTATAGTCTAGTCTATAGTCTAGTCTATAGTCTAGTTAATAGTCTTGTATATAGTCTATACTCCAGTCTAGCCTCTAGTGCACACTGTAGTCTTTAATTTATAATTCAGTCTATAGTCTAGTTTATAGTCTAGTCTATAGTCTAGTGTATAGTCTAGTCTATATACTATATAATATAGTCTATAGTCTAGTCTATAGTATAGTTAATAATCTATAGTCTAGTTAATAGTCTATAGTCTAGTTATAGTCTATAGTCTAGTTATAGTCTATAGTCTAGTTATAGTCTAGTCTAGTCTATAGTCTAGTCTATAGTCTAGTCTATAGTCTAGTCTATAGTCTAGTCTATAGTCTAGTCTATAGTCTAGTCTATAGTCTAGTCTAAAGTCTAGTCTATAGTCTAGTCTATAGTCTAGTCTATAGTCTAGTCTATAGTCTAGTCTATAGTCTAGTCTATAGTCTAGTCTATAGTCTAGTCTATAGTCTAGTCTATAGTCTAGTCTATAGTCTAGTCTATAGTCTAGTCTATAGTCTAGTCTATAGTCTAGTCTATAGTCTAGTCTATAGTCTAGTCTATAGTAGTCTATAGTCTAGTCTATAGTCTAGTCTATAGTCTAGTCTATAGTCTAGTCTATAGTCTAGTCTATAGTCTAGTCTATAGTCTAGTCTATAGTCTAGTCTATAGTCTAGTCTAGTCTATAGTCTAGTCTAGTCTAGTCTAGTCTATAGTCTATAGTCTAGTCTAGTCTATAGTCTAGTCAATAGTCTTGTCTATAGTCTTGTCTATAGTCTAGTCTACAGTCTAGTCTACAGTCTAGTCTATAGTCTAGTCTATAGTCTAGTCTATAGTCTAGTCTGTAGTCTAGTCATTAGTCTAGTCTATAGTCTAGTCTAGTCTATAGTCTAGTCTATAGTCTAGTCTATGGTCTAATCTATAGTCTAGTCTATAGTCTAGTCTATAGTCTAGTCTATAGTCTAGTCTATAGTCTAGTCTATAGTCTAGTCTATAGTCTAGTCTATAGTCTAGTCTATAGTCTAGTCTATAGTCTAGTCTATAGTCTAGTCTATAGTCTAGTCTATAGTCTAGTCTATAGTCTAGTCTATAGTCTAGTATCTAGTCTAGTCTATAGTCTAGTCTATAGTCAGTCTATAGTCCTAGTCTATAGTCCTAGTCTATAGTCTAGTCTATAGTCTAGTCTATAGTCTAGTCCTAGTCTAGTCTATAGTCTAGTCTATAGTCTAGGTCTATAGTCTAGGTCTATAGTCTAGTCTATGTCTTCTATAGTCTAGTCTATAGTCTATCTATATCTGTCTATAGTCTAGTCTATAGTCTAGTCTATAGTCTAGTCTATAGTCTAGTCTATAGTCTAGTCTATAGTCTAGTCTATAGTCTAGTCGATAATCTAGTCTATAGTCCTAGTTTAATAGTCTTTTGTATATAGCTATAACTCCAGGTCTAGCCTCTAGTGCACACTGTAGGTCTTTAATTTATACTCAGTCTATAGTCTAGTCAATAGTCTAGTTTATAGTCTAGTCTATAGTCCAGTGTATAGTCTAGTCTATAGTCTAGTCTATTGTCTAGTCTATAGTCTAGTCTATAGACTAGTTATCTCTAGTCTATAGTCTAGTCTATAGTCTAGTCTATAGTCTTGTCTATAGTCTAGTTTACAGCCTAGTCTATTGTCTATTCTATAGTCTAGTCTATAGTCTAGTCTACAATCTAGTCTATAGTCAAGTCTACAATCTAGTCTATAGTCTAATCTACAGTCTAGTAATATTCTGGTCTATAGTATACTAGTATATAGTCTAGTCTATTGTCCATAGTCTAGGCTATGGTCTATTCTATAGTCTAGTTTATAATCTAGTCTATAATGCAGTCTATAGTTTAGTTAATAGTCTAATCTATTTAAATTTTAAATATTTTCATATTTTTTAAATTTAATTTATTAAAGGTATGAATGAATGTATGTACTTACTTCTTGATTTCGATTAACACACATATAGTCCTCATACCGTATCAATTTAGGAATAGGAACTCGTTTAAGGTTCATTACTCATCAGGAATATTTACTTTTTTTGGTGCAAATTAGCGTAATAGCAAAAATTTATCAAACATAATTTGGGTAAAATCCAAGTGTTTTTGGGTGTATAATTTTGAAGTTTTAGTGTAAAATTTAGTTTGTAAAAAATGTATTTTTGTATTTGAAATCTGAAGAGCTGTTTTTCTTGTTGTTTTTTACCTCTTTATCAAATAACAATACTCACTGTTGTCATTACTCTTGCTTTCTATTCCATTTACTCTTGCTTGCTACTCCTTTAATTATCCTTAAACTTTCATTACCAGATAGTTATGCGTTGGGCTGTTTTGTTTTTTTCCTTTTTTTAAGAATTGAAATCTTTATTATTTTTTTTTTTTTTGTTTTGTTTTGAAAATGTTTGTAACGGCAGTTATTTTGCATTACGTTCATCATCACATCAATTGTTTTACATAATTAATTAATATTATAATAATTTTGTTTTTTGTTTCGTTTTTATTAATATTATCCATAAAATAATAATAAAATGTTAAAAGTTTAACTATGTGCTTAAATTCTAATGAAAAAAAGATGTATACATAGAGAATATGTATGTATGTAAATTTTATGCAGGGTTTTTTTGTTTTTCCTTATTTTTTTCTTTGTTTTTTTTTTTGTTTATTTTAATTTAATTTTTTAGGGTTTTATTTAAATTGAATTTTATTTATTTACTTGGTTTTTTTGCGGTCCGGTCTTTGTTGAATATTGTGGTTGGTTGGTTGTAGTTGACAATGTTTTTTTTTTTTATTATTTGAAATATTTTATTTAACTTTTACGTTGTAGTAGTGTTGTGTGTGTGTTGTTGATATTTTATTTATTTTTTAAATTTATTTTATTTAGCTGTATATGGTTTGTATCTATGTAGTTTATGGTTTTTCCTGTAAAATTTTGAATATTTTTTTGGCCATTCTTCTACTTTTTTTCTTGGAAAAAAGCGTAGAATAGTTGTAGACATTAGATGATGAGTTTTGTTTTTTTGTTTTAATTATTTAAGTTTAAAAAGTTTACGGTTCTGCTGCTGTGGTTGGTTTTTCTTTTGTTTTTTTATTTACGATTAATGCTAATTGTTGATTTTTGTTTTACTCAAACGTATAAAGTTATTTAAAATTTAATTTTGTTTTTTTCTTTTTTGTTTTACTTTAATGTTTTGTTAAATTGTTTATCGGTTGTTGGTTTTTTTGTTTGTTTTATGTTTAATTAATTTTTATGTACAATTTTAATTCATTTAGGATTGCTCGTCTACTAGGAGCATAATTTGTTGTGTTGCAGCCGGGGCTGGATTTCTTGTACATTCAACTTGATGGGCATTCCAATCCTTTCGTTGACAAAATTCGGAACAATAGGGAGTCTTTCGGCATAATGAGCATTCTGCCAATGCTTCACGATTACAATTAGCGCACTAGAAGAGAACAAAAATAAATATAAATTTTAAATCAGAACTTCATGTTATAAGAAAATGTAAATTTCAGTTCTAGTTCAGTGCTAGTTCATTTCTAGTTCAGTTCTAGTTCAATTCTAGTTTAGTTCTAGTTCAGTTCTAGTTCAGTTCTAGTTCAGTTCTAGTTCAGTTCTAGTTCAGTTCTAGTTCAGTTCTAGTTCAGTTCTAGTTCAGTTCTAGTTCTGTTCTAGTTCTCTTCTTGTTATGTTCTAGTTCTGTTCTAGTTCAGTTCTAGTTCAGTTCTAGTTCAGTTCTAGTTCAGTTCTAGTTCAGTTCTAGTTCAGTTCTAGTTCAGTTCTAGTTCAGTTCTAGTTCAGTTCTAGTTCAGTTCTAGTTCAGTTCTAGTTCAGTTCTAGTTCAGTACTAGTTCAGTTCTAGTTCAGTTCTAGTTCAGTTCTAGTTCAGTTCTAGTTCAGTTCTAGTTCAGTTCTAGTTCAGTTCTAGTTCAGTTCTAGTTCAGTTCTAGTTCAGTTCTAGTTCAGTTCTAGTTCAGTTCTAGTTCAGTTCTAGTTCAGTTCTAGTTCAGTTCTAGTTCAGTTCTAGTTCAGTTCTAGTTCAGTTCTAGTTCAGTTCTAGTTCAGTTCTAGTTCAGTTCTAGTTCAGGTTCAGTTCAGTTCTAGTATCAGTTCTAGTTCAGTTCTAGTTCAGTTCTAGTTCAGTTCTAGTTCAGTTCTAGTTCAGTTCTAGTTCAGTTCTAGTTCAGTTCTAGTTCAGTTCTAGTTCAGTTCTAGTTCAGTTCTAGTTCAGTTCTAGTTCAGTTCTAGTTCAGTTCCTAGTTCAGTTCTAGTTCAGTTCTAGTTCAGTTCTAGTTCAGTTCTAGTTCAGTTCTAGTTCAGTCTAGTTCAGTTCTAGTTCAGTTCTAGTTCAGTTCTAGTTCAGTTCTAGTTCAGTTCTAGTTCAGTTCTAGTTCAGTTCTAGTTCAGTTCTAGTTCAGTTCTAGTTCAGTTCTAGTTCAGTTCTAGTTCAGTTCTAGTTCAGTTCTAGTTCAGTTCTAGTTCAGTTCTAGTTCAGTTCTAGTTCAGTTCTAGTTCAGTTCTAGTTCAGTTCTAGTTCAGTTCTAGTTCAGTTCTAGTTCAGTTCTAGTTCAGTTCTAGTTCAGTTCTAGTTCAGTTCTAGTTCTGTTCTAGTTCAGTTCTAGTTCAGTTCTAGTTCTGTTCTAGTTCAGTTCTAGTTCAGTTCTAGTTCAGTTCTAGTTTAATTCCAGTTCAGTTCTAGTTCCGCTTTTAAAATCTTATTTCTCACCTTCTTAGCTGATATAACTTCGTTGCCATGTAATGCACCCGCTATATTCGGATCATCAATGTCTGTATGTACTTGTACGCGCATTGCTGCCACCGCAGCATCGCGTTCCTTCTGTAATATTTCGATTTTACGATCGTACGTATTCTTTAAGTCGGTTAGAATACGCTTAAAATCATTAGTGGCTTTGACCATTGTGCAATAAACATTCTCGAGTGTTTTCATTGTCTGACTATTGTCTAGCAATGCAATTGGCCCCGGATCATTTATGTTCACTACAAACGTTTCTCTATCGTATGCATTACAGATTTGTGTTTGATCTACTAGCTCGGTTGATGTGTCGAGGCTATCGTTAAGTGTTGGCCACGGTTCATCCTTGGAGGTAATGTTATCTTCCGTTAAAAAACATATTATTATCATCGACCACCGTTGTGGTGTGTTGTGGTGGTTCAGTGTTATTCATAATATTGTTGTTATTATTATTGTTATTATTGTTATTGTTAGTATTACGTTTACGTTTTGGACCACCAGTTTCACCATCATTATCTGTTTGATTTCGCTTTCGACGTTTGTATGGTGTAAATAGACGTACGGGTCCCGATGCTGGCGAAGCGAAGGAGAAAGAAGAAAAAATAAACAGATTAGATTGTGATTTAATTACGAACAGGAAAAAATTATAATAAATTCTGCAAAAGAAGAAACAGAGCTGGTTTAATTCATTAATAACCTATTTATCAGCGGAAACTGGACTTTGATACTTTGTAAAATTTGTTTTGTTGTATATTTTTGTTAATATAAACAATAACATCTTTTGTTAAGGTTTTTGAAAATACTTTGGTAAATCTACGACAAATCCAGACATGCAAATCTGAAAACTTTGCTAAATATCAACAAACATCTAAGAAGCAATCTCAGAATGATGCTCTTAATATTACATCTCCTAGTACTACTTCAATATAAACTTCTTCTCGACGACTGGATCAAAGTGACTGAATAATATCCCTCAGCTCAATTGCGACGGCTCTGAGATAAAGAATGGCGTAGGAGGTGGTTTGTAAATTGTATACATGTCTTACTCAAAGATCCACAATAAAAAGGTAAACATCTATAAATGCCACAAGTTGGAAAGAAATGTCAATTGACAAAAGTTGATCCTTTTCTCAAAAATCAATTCAACGAACTAGAAGGACTCGCAGCTTAACATACACTGATCTAGAAATGTACCAGTTTTATTGATTTTCCAAATATACTTATTAAAACAGAAGTCAGAAAAAAGAATCATTTGGAAATTCAGCTCTAGCTCCGTTCTAGTTCAGTCTAGTTAGTTCTAGTTCAGTTCTAGTTCTAGTTCAGTTCTAGTTCAGTTCTAGTTCAGTTCTAGTTCAGTTCTAGTTCAGTTCTAGTTCAGTTCTAGTTCAGTTCTAGTTCATTTCAGTTCTACTTCTAGTTCAGTTCTACTTCTAGTTCAGTTCTAGTTCTAGTTCAGTTCTAGTTCAGTTCTAGTTCAGTTTAGTTCAGTTCTAGTTCAGTTCTAGTTCAGTTCTAGTTCAGTTCTAGTTCAGTTCTAGTTCAGTTCTAGTTCAGTTCTAGTTCAGTTCTAGTTCAGTTCTAGTTCAGTTCTAGTTCAGTTCTAGTTCAGTTCTAGTTCAGTTCTAGTTTAGTTCTAGTTCAGTTCTAGTTCAGTTCTAGTTCAGTTCTAGTTCAGTTCTAGTTCAGATCTAGTTCAGTTCTAGTTCAGTTCTATTCAGTTCTAGTTCAGTTCTAGTTCAGTTCTAGTTCAGTTCTAGTTCAGTTCTAGTTCAGTTCTAGTTCAGTTCTAGTTCAGTTCTAGTTCAGTTCTAGTTCGGTTCTAGTTCAGTTCTAGTTCAGTTCTAGTTCAGTTCTAGTTCAGTTCTAGTTCAGTTCTAGTTCAGTTCTAGTTCAGTTCTAGTTCAGTTCTAGTTCAGTTCTAGTTCAGTTCTAGTTCAGTTCTAGTTTAGTTCTAGTTTCAGTTCTAGTTCAGTTCTAGTTCAGTTCTAGTTCAGTTCTAGTTCAGTTCTAGTTCAGTTCTAGTTCAGTTCTAGTTCAGTTCTAGTTCAGTTCTAGTTCAGTTCTAGTTCAGTTCTAGTTCAGTTCTAGTTCAGTTCTTGTTCAGTTCTAGTTCAGTTCTAGTTCAGTTCTAGTTCAGTTCTAGTTCAGTTCTAGTTCAGTTCTAGTTCAGTTCTAGTTCAGTTCTAGTTCAGTTCTAGTTCAGTTCTAGTTCAGTTCTAGTTCAGTTCTAGTTCAGTTCTAGTTCAGTTCTAGTTCAGTTCTAGTTCAGTTCTAGTTCAGTTCTAGTTCAGTTCTAGTTCAGTTCTAGTTCAGTTCTAGTTCAGTTCTAGTTCAGTTCTAGTTCAGTTCTAGTTCAGTTCTAGTTCAGTTCTAGTTCAGTTCTAGTTCAGTTCTAGTTCAGTTCTAGTTCAGTTCTAGTTCAGTTCTAGTTCAAGTTCTAGTTCAGTTCTAGTTCAGTTCTAGTTCAGTTCTAGTTCAGTTCTAGTTCAGTTCTAGTTCAGTTCTAGTTCAGTTCTAGTTCAGTTCTAGTTCAGTTCTAGTTCAGTTCTAGTTCAGTTCTAGTTCAGTTTCTAGTTCAGTTCTAGTTCAGTTTCTAGTTCAGTTTCTAGTTCAGTTCTAGTTCAGTTCTAGTTCAGTTCTAGTTCAGTTTCTAGTTCAGTTCTAGTTCAGTTTCTAGTTCAGTTCTAGTGCAGTTCTAGTTCTAGTTCAGTTCTAGTTCAGGTTCTAGTTCGGTTCTAGTTCGGTTCTAGTTCAGTTCTAGTTTCAGTTCTAGTTCAGTTCTAGTTCAGTTCTAGTTTAGTTCTAGTTTAGTTCTAGTTCAGTTCTAGTTCAGTTCTAGTCTAGTTCAGTTCTAGTTCAGTTCTAGTTCAGTTCTAGTTCTAGTTCGATCTTTTCGAAGTAGTATGCCTTTAGTTTGTTTATCTAATTTGAACTTGTAGGTAGTTCAATACTATTGATTTTTAACAGAAATTTTGCTATTCAAAAGAGTGGACGGGGAAATTCTTATTTGATTCTTTAAGAAAAGTCCAGAGCTCAATTCTACAGCTGACATCATTGAACAAATTTGTTTTCTTTAAATTTAACAATATAACAGGGATTTCCCGGAATTCTAAAGCAACTAAGAAATGCATTAAACAGCCTTCTGTATTCAAAAGATTTGCATAAATATTTGAAATTAATGAAACAACTACAAAAAGCCTAGTCAATTTGTACATACGGAAACATTTTAAACTAAAACCCGTTAATCTGACAAGTACTATAATAAAGTTAAAAACTTCCGGGATTCATGTAATATGTTATGTCCACCAACTTACCCGCTTCATCATCACAACAAACGGTACAACTGCAATTGGTGGCATGCGGTGTCAGGGTGCCCTCATCTATAAGTGACTGCAACGATTTGCCCCCGTATTTAATGGAACGTTTCCAATCCTTACTCGAGCCACGACCACAGGTCTGCTCAAATTCACTAGGCGTCAGCCATTTGTCTTTGTACTTAACACAGCGACCTCGACCGCCCGAACCCAACTTACTGCGATATAGCTCAGCACTGGTCGTCTTACAGCGTATGGGAAATATTTCCATGTGAGCTGTTTCCGACCAACTGACACCCGATGCTGAACCGCAACCGGAGCCATGCATCATTTGATCACCGGTGACGGTGCTGTCATGACTGTTATTGCTGCCGGAGCCATCGTGATTCATGCCAACCGAATCACTTTGCTGTTGCTGTTGTATGACAATCGTTTTGAGGTCACCACCAACACTGCCCACAACCGCACCGCTGGATATATAACCATTGTTATCGACGCACAGCATCTGTTTGAAATGCGGTAAATGATCGGGTGAGATGACATTGAAAGCGGTGCCAGCAATCATGGAACCTATGGGCAGGGAAACGGGTACGGAAACAACATTGCCACCGCTGCCTCCACTATTTTCATTTGATGATGTTACCATATGCACTTTGGTTTCCAGCTAAAAACGGGTTTTGTGTAGACAGCAACAGCAACAGCAGCAACAGGATAACAAGTTGTCCAGGAAGAAGGTTTTATTTAATAAATTGCAACACGCACAATTTTCCACAGTAGCAGCAGCAATTGAAGAAAAAATGTTTTTTTCAGTATTTATTTTTTTTTTCGTTTAGTCGTCAATGGCGCAGAGTAGAAGAAGACATGTAGAAAAAAAAACGTATAAAATATGAGAAAAAATAACAACAAATAAGAGAAATTGCAAAATCAAAACAAAAGCAATTAGAAGTAGGAAAAAAGCACACAAATATTAATTAATAGAGAAATTTTGGAAATCATATAAAAAAAACACACAACATACAAAAAATATGTACACAATATTTTGTGTACTACACACACGCACACGGTAGGATGTTGGTTGGTTGTTTTGGAAGATGTTGGTTTAGGACACTACCAAAACTTTGCCCGTAGGCTCTGCAAGTTATAACCAGCTTAAAACCCTTTAAACCAGGGGCTGGCAGGGAGATTAAGGGCTTTTGCTTTGATGGCGCAGTGGCGCATTTCCACATAAAAAAAAAATAAAAACACTGTTTTTAACACTAATTGCAAGCTCTACAATACATTTTCCATAAATTGTTTCCAAAATATTTTCATTTTCTTCCTTTAAAGAGTTTGTGTGTCACACGAAATTTTCCCACTTAATTTCTTGAGTTTTGCTTTTTTCTATTTATTTATTATTTTTCTCTACATTACGCACCTGATGGCCGGAACTTTCAAGTATGACTTCTTCCTTAACAACGTCACGCGCTTCATCATTGAGAACAGCCAATTCTTTCACATCACGTATTCTACTTAGATGCATTTCAGTGGAGTCCTGTTCCATAGCTTATTTTGGAGTTTTGACACTGTCTGCTTTGCTCTGCTTTTTCTTTGCTCTTAACACACACACAAAATCACACAATTTTTCTAATTTGCCGTGTTATAAAAAAAAGGCAATTGTATTTTTTAGGCGGTTTTCCAACTAAGTTTTCTCTAAACTATTTCAATTCAGCACTTAATAACTAATTTGCAAATTGTGTTTTTCAATAGTTTAATTCTCAATATTTTCTTTAAACAAATAAATCACATTTTGCTTATAAATATATATTTTTTTTTTTTTTGTAGAAAAAATATTAACTGGAGATGTATGACATTTGTGATAACAAACTTTCAATTAACACATTAAAAGTTCTGTTCGTTAAGTATGAAATGTCAAAAAAAATAGACAGCAATAAGAAAAAAGCTTTTTTCCAATAACATACCAGCAGGGTTGTATTTATTAAGGGTTTGGCAGTTCTTAGTGAGTGCCACAAGAACAGGGTTATCGGTAAAATCTTGCATACTTTTTATACAAATTTATAGCTATGTAGAGAATGTCTTCACGGACCTAGAGGAAATAACCTGGCTAGGTTGTATGTATGTAGATGTTGTTTGGGCATAATATTGGTACTAACCATTGTGGGCTTTATGTCGACTTTAGATTCCTTATAATTGTCACACTATACCCAATAAGCATTCTTGCTGGAATTAAAGTTTAAAACAAGTTTAATTCCAGTCAAACATTAAAATTTCAAGAGTTGAAATACATTACACCTTAATTCAAAGCATTCTCCAGTGAAAAGGCAACTTGAATTCAAATCGAACATTACAGTGTTTTCACAGTATAATTCAAGGCACGAAATCTATCTATATATATAAAATTCTAACGTTACTGACTGTAAAAAGCACAACCTTTGTGCTTGCTCTATTTTATTGTTATAACTTATATACAAAATCCCACTTAAAAAGTCTCTCGGATTCCGTTTTTATTTAAAATCATTGAAAATTGTAAAATTAAGCGTATTTGAGAACTTAGCCGGCGTACAGTCGATTTTAAGCCGCCGCCGATATTTTTAGTGTCAGCCGCCGCCGCCGTTAATATTTGTCAGCGCAGATTTCTGATTGGAATACAATTTAGCTGGGCAAAAGTTAAAATTTAGAATAATTAAAGGATTTTTTTGTTAAAAATGTTGGCTGATGTTGATGTTTTCATCACCAACTATACCATAGTAGATCCGGAAATCTATCAACTATGGATAGAGGGATTTTCTTGTAAGTTATTTAATGAAATTTTCATTTATATACCAAAAACCCTAAAGAAGTGTTAATTTATTTCTAGCTACCGAGGCTGTTTGTTATCTGAAACAAAAGGGTTTTGCCCATTCCATGGGCGTACATTTGGACTTAATAACTTCAGATGTTTTAGATCATTATCGCACTTATTCGCTAATCGAGCGGCTGTTGCATGCTCCCACTAAATTGCTAGAACAATCTTGTTTCCAATTGGAACCGGAGACTCGGGATCTTATTATAGAAAAGTAGTTGTTGTTGTTAAATGAAAACAAAATTGATGAATTTTATGAAGATTGTAAACAATTTATTAATATTTTTTTTTGTTTTTTCTTAAAGATACTACTCCATTGATGATTGTGTGGCTCGCGAAATATTGGGCAAAAAGTTGTCTTCACGTTATCGCAAGGATTTGGATGAAGTGGCTGAAAAGACTGGAGTTAAATTGAAATCTTGCAGGTATTATAAGAAATCTTGCAACATGGAAATAATAGTTTATTTTGCAGAAGAAAAAATAAGTTTGGAAAGGAACATCAACAACAGTTGAATGACCAAATGCTAAATATGGATAAAGTATAAGAATATAAATATAAGAATATAAGAGGGACCCATTATGAAAAAGACTAAGAAATGTGACAAACATCATGTGAAATGATCCTTAAAATCCAACAACGTTTGCTCGCATATTGTGATATTCCATCTTGAGGCGATGTAAAGGCTAAGATGTGAAGACATATGCTGGTTAGACTATTCTAGCCAGAGGGGTTGATGATGAGCACATACTAAGAACTATCCTTTCCAAATTACATATTTGTTTTTCTCATATTATTGGAGCTATTTGGTACTCTTCGGTTTTCTTTAAGTAAACTCCGTAAACTCCACCAGCAAATGTGTTTATATTGTGCGGATTAATGGTCTGTAAATCTTTGTATAAGACAAGAGCAAATGCTCTCTTATTAGAGCACAAAAAGTGCTGCATATATATAGTAGAGAGCGGATCATTTTGTGCTGAATCGAAAGCTATTTTAGAATTGTTTTAAGGCAAAACTGAATCAAATTATTTAGCAAATCGATGTCGGAATAAGCTGCAAGTGCCTCTAAATCGCAATGGAAGTACCCACGATGATTGTCTATTTAAATAAACCTAAACCTGCTGCAAAAACAGTTCAAAAGTTAGACTTAATAGAACTATCCACAAAGTTCTCTTGGATCTCTAGTCAAGCACTTCAAAACTGTCAGTATTGTTAAAATCATAAAGGTCTAGTAAAGGCACTCAAATAAGGCATTACACTCTGCCAAATAGGTCGATTCTAGGAGAGCTTGTGATTAACTTAATTTCCAAAGAAGCAGTAAATTGTTCTGGAATTTATTACACATAAATTTTCATCTTTCCCGTTTCAAAAATTAAGAAAAATCTCTTTAATTTCCTTTACAGACGCCAATTCGATAATGTTAAACGGATATTTAAAGCGGTAGAAGAGCTACCCGGCAATATAACACAAAATATTAAGCAGCTATTCAATATACGCGATGAACTAGCCAAGTAATCTTTCTTTTAAAAGAAATCTAGACTTAATAATTTCTCATACATATTTCTTTCTTCCCCTAAACCCTAAAGAAAATATGCCTCCATAGTATTTTTGGCCTGTTTACGTTTTGAAACCTCTAAGAAAAAGTTGCAGTATTTAACCTTTAACGATTTGTTTGCCTGCTCGCAGGCTGTCATGATCTATTGGACGTATACGTATCAGCATTCGGGTCCCGAATACTATGACACTGAAATGGATAAAGAATTTCTATTGGATTTAAGAGAACTAAGATGTTTATTGGACAAAGAAAAGGAAATCAAACAGTAGGTTAAGAAAAAAATAAAAGAAAATCTAGTTTATTATAAAATCCTTTTTTCTAAACAGTTTAGTTTGTTTGCGTTTAAAACCAGTTTTATTGGAAAGATCATTTCATGAGTTGGACTCAAATTTTCGGTAATTTATTTCAAACATTTTGTATACTTCAAATGATTCATTAATCATTTTCTATGCTTCAGCTCCTATTGGCGTTCTTTGATTAGTATTGCTTGCAATTTACATCGTACACGCGAATTGCGTGATTTATTTGTCGATCTTTGTGAAAAATTAATCGAACCCTGGCGCCAGAATATTTGGGCTCGCGATCATGTCAATAAGTTTTTAGCTGCCACCACACAAAGTGTTTTAGATTTGGAAATATCGAGGTAAACATTACTTTCTATATTTTCATCAAAAATTTTATATATTTTTCAATTTTTCAGAGATCAAGAAACCCGCTGCTTGTGGGATCGTTATATGCAAGTTATTAGTATCTGTTTAGATAAAATGTATCATGTTTAATTTGTAATTGTATTTATTTAATAATATTTTTTAAGTTGCCAATATATTTATTATAATTTTGTTAATTTTTCATAAATTAGAGGACATTTGACAATTTGATTGGAAGAAAGTTGAAGAAGCGAAAACGTTTTGTTTAATAAATAAATAAAAAAAAATATTTAAAAATTGCGGATTTTATTTCGAATTTATATCTAGTCCATAGTCTAGTCTATAATCTATTCTATAGTCTGGTCTATAATCTAGTCTATAATCTAGTCTATAGTCTATTCTATAGTCCAGTTTATAATCTAGTCTAGTCTATAGTCCAGTCTATAATCTAGTCGAGTCTATAATCTAGTCGAGTCTATAATCTAGTCGAGTCTATAATCTAGTCTATAATCTAGTCTATAGTCTCGTCTATACTCTATTCATTAGTCCAGTCTATAGTCTAGTATATAGTCTAGTCTATAGTCTAGTCTATAGTCTAGTCTATAGTCTAGTCTATAGTCTAGTCTATAGTCTAGTCTATAGTCTAGTCTATAGTCTAGTCTATAGTCTAGTCTATAGTCTAGTCTATAGTCTAGTCTATAGTCTAGTCTATAGTCTAGTCTATAGTCTAGTCTATAGTTAGTCTATAGTCTAGTCTATAGTCTAGTCTATAGTCTAGTCTATAGTCTAGTCTATAGTCTAGTCTATAGTCTAGTCTATAGTCTAGTCTATAGTCTAGTCTATAGTCTAGTCTATAGTCTAGTCTATAGTCTAGTCTATAGTCTAGTCTATAGTTCTAGTCATAGTCTAGTCTATAGTCTAGTCTTATAGTCTAGTCTATAGTCTAGTCATAGTCTAGTCTATAGTCTAGTCTAGTTAGTCTATAGTCTAGTCTATAGTCTAGTCTATAGTCTAGTCTATAGTCTAGTCTATAGTCTAGTCTATAGTCTAGTATATAGTCTAGTCTATAGTCTAGTCTATAGTCTAGTCTATAGTCTAGTCTATAGTCTAGTCTATAGTCTAGTCTAGTCTATAGTCTAGTCTATAGTCTAGTCTATAGTCTAGTCTATAGTCTAGTCTATAGTCTAGTCTATAGTCTAGTCTATAGTCTAGTCTATAGTCTAGTCTATAGTCTAGTCTATAGTCTAGTCTATAGTCTAGTCTATAGTCTAGTCTATAGTCTAGTCTATAGTCTAGTCTATAGTCTAGTCTATAGTCTAGTCTATAGTCTAGTCTATAGTCTAGTCTATAGTCTAGTCTACATTCTAGTCTACATTCTAGTTTATAGTCTAGTCTATAGTCTAGTCTATAGTCTAGTTTATAGCCTGGTCTATAGTCTAGTCTAGTTATAGTATACTAAATATTGCTATAATCTAGTTATAGTCTAGTCTATAGTCTAGTCTATAGTCTAGTCTATAGTCTAGTCTATAGTCTAGTCTATAGTCTAATCTATAGTCTAGTCTATTGTCTAGTCTATTGTCTAGTCTATAGTCTAGTCTATAGTCTAGTCTATAGTCTAGTCTATAGTCTAGTCTATCGTCTAGTCTATAGTCTAGTTTATAGTCTAGTCTATAGTCTAGTCTATAATCTAGTCTATAGTCTAGTCTATAGTCTAGTCTATAGTCTAGTCTATAGTCTAGTCTATAGTCTAGTCTATAGTCTAGTCTATAGTCTAGTCTATAGTCTAGTCTATAGTCTAGTCTATAGTCTAGTCTATAGTCTAGTCTATAGTCTAGTCTATAGTCTAGTCTATAGTCTAGTCTATAGTCTAGTCTAGTCTAGTCTAGTCTAGTCTATAGTCTAGTCTATAGTCTAGTCTATAGTCTAGTCTATAGTCTAGTCTATAGTCTAGTCCATAGTCTAGTCTATAGTCTAGTCTATAGTCTAGTCTAGTATCTAGTCTATAGTCTAGTCTATAATCTAGTCTATAGTCAAGTATGTAGTCTAGTCTGTAGTCTAGTTTATAGTCAAGTCTATAGCCTAGTCTATAGTCTAATTTAGCCTATATTGTATTCTATAGTCTAGTCTATATGTATTCTGTAGTCTAGTCTATAGCGTATGCTGTAGTCTAGTAAATAATCTAATCTATAGTCTTAGCTATTGTGCAGTCTACGGTGTAGTTTATTATCTAGTCTAAATTATAGTCTATTGTCTAGTCTATAGTCTAGTTTATAATCTACTTTATATTGGTTCTTTCAACTCATAAATAGTACTAAAACAAGTCTATTGTGTAGTCTATAAGTTAGTCTTGTTTATTCTATACTATATTCTAAAATTTTGTCAATAGTCTAGTTTATTGTCTAGTCTGGACTATAGTCTATAATCTAGTATATATTGGTACTTTCAGCTCTTAAATAGTACTAAAACAAGTACTAAATCATTGTTAAATTGCAATTCCATAGATATTCTCTCATTAAACTATTGCATCTACTCTGAATACTCAATATAAACAAAAATACTTACAGATACATTAGCACTCACATACTAGCACAATAAACAAAACTTATAGCAAAAAAGTTCAAAGCTTTTCTTTACACTAACGAAACACCAACAACTCGTAACTGTCAATTAAGAAAATGGAATAAAAATAGAAAATGCAAAAATATACAATAAAAACTTGCATTGCAAAATAGACGAAAAATTAGACACAAAGAAAAACGCAGAAAATAAGCGCAACAACTTGTCAAAAGTTTATTATTATTATTTATTTCCAAACCCACTACCCACAAGTATCTAGTAGAACAACACGCAAAAAACAAAATCAAAACAAATAAAAATTTTCCACTAGAAAAATACCCTTTTTTGGTGACAAGAGAAAGATAAATCTATCCATACTCGTATTGAGTGCGTATCTATGGAATTTAGGTAAGTTTTGCACTCGTATCTGTCATTTGCAGATTGATTGATTTCAGAGAGTTGATGCTGTAATAATAAATCAAAGAAATGAAAAGAAAACGGGGAGGATTTTCCCATAACTGCATATTAATCCATTCACCTTTATTAGCAACCACTGAAAAACTTATTTGTGTTACAACTCCAACAACATACGGACGTTTTTTGTACAAGAAATTTCTATTTTGGAGAAAAGTTATTTAATTAATCAATTTCTTTGATTGGAATACTTAATTTAATTAAATTGTTTTACATTTAGAGCAAAATAATGTATCTTTTTCATTCGTCTAGTGAAACTTTGGAAGAATTGGACGATGAGACTTACGATGAGGAAAAAATGGCCAGAACATCAGATGAGAATCGAAAGTAAGTGAGACTTTATATTATCGTTTATAATTGTAATTAATATTAAGTAATTAATAAATGGAATGCTAAAAGGTTTATTTAACGGATATCTCGAAACGTCTAGCTGTTGTTTATAGGTTTGTGTGTTTGTATACTTTAAGGAAAATTACCGAAAAAATATTCCATATGTTGCTAGTTGCATTACAAAGTATTTAAAGGGACAACAAAAGGTTAAGATATTTATAGTCTACCAAATGTATCTATTAAATGGAGATTATAAAACTGTCTGCTGAAATTAATGCACAATGGGTCGAAAGCAACAAATAACAGAAAATACAGCAACAAACCCGCAAATGTATAACATAGGCTAGACTATAGATTAGACTATATACTAGACTATAGACTAGACTATAGACTAGACTATAGACTAGAATATAGACCAGACTATAGACTATAGACTAGACTATAGACTAGACTATAGACTAGACTATAGACTAGACTATAGACTAGACTATAGACTAGACTATAGACTAGACTATAGACTAGACTATAGACTAGACTATAGACTAGACTATAGACTAGACTATAGACTAGACTATAGACTAGACTATAGACTAGACTATAGACTAGACTATAGACTAGACTATAGACTAGACTATAGACTAGACTATAGACTAGACTATAGACTAGACTATAGACTAGACTATAGACTAGACTATAGACTAGACTATAGACTAGACTATAGACTAGACTATAGACTAGACTATAGACTAGACTATAGACTAGACTATAGACTAGACTATAGACTAGACTATAGACTAGACTATAGACTAGACTATAGACTAGACTATAGACTAGACTATAGACTAGACTATAGACTAGACTATAGACTAGACTATAGACTAGACTATAGACTAGACTATAGACTAGACTATAGACTAGACTATAGACTAGACTATAGACTAGACTATAGACTAGACTATAGACTAGACTATAGACTAGACTATAGACTAGACTATAGACTAGACTATAGACTAGACTATAGACTAGACTATAGACTAGACTATAGACTAGACTATAGACTAGACTATAGACTAGACTATAGACTAGACTATAGACTAGACTATAGACTAGACTAGACTATAGACTAGACTATAGACTAGACTATAGACTAGACTATAGACTAAAGACTCTAGACTAGAATAGACTAAAGACTAGACTATAGACTAGACTATAGACTAGACTATACACTACACTATAGACTAGACTATAGACTAGACTATACACTAGACTATACACTAGACTATACACTAGACTATACACTAGACTATAGACTAGACTATACACTAGACTTTACACTAGACTATACACTAGACTATAGACTAGACTATAGACTGGACTTTAGACTAGGCTATACACTAGACTTTACACTAGACTATACACTAGACTATAGACTAGGCTATACACTAGACTATAGACTAGACTACAGACTTGATTATAGACTAGACTATAGATTAGACTATAGACTAGACTATAGACAAGACAATAGACTAGGCTATAGACTAGACTATAGACTACACTATAGACTACACTATAGACTAGACTATATTCTAGACTATAGACTAGACTATAAACTAGACTATAGACTAGACTATAGACTAGGCTGTAGACTAGACTATAGACTAGACTATAGACTAAACTACAGACTAGACTATAGACTAGACTATAAACTAGACTACAGACTAGACTATAGACTAGACTTTAAACTAGACTATAGACTAGACTATTCACTAGACTATAGACTAGACTATAGACTAAACTTTAGAGTAAACTATAGACTAAACTTTAGACTAATCTTCAGATTAAACTTTAGACTTAACTATAAACTAACTATAGGTTAAACTTTAGAATAAATAATAGAATAAACTGTACTTAGACTGTACTTAGACTAGAATATGGAATAAACTATAAATCTAGAACATTTTCGCCAATAAAACAACTCTGCCCGAAATTCTTCTATTTTCCAGGCAAAATCACAGTGAAATCGAAAAACGACGGCGGGATAAAATGAACACCTACATCAATGAATTGTCCTCCATGATACCCATGTGCTATGCCATGCATCGTAAACTAGATAAATTGACCGTTTTACGCATGGCTGTACAGCATTTGCGTAGTATACGTGGTGCCGTACACGCCTACAGCGGTGGTGACTGTAAACCAACATTTCTCTCAGATCAAGAATTGAAAATGTTAATACTGCAGGCAGCTGAGGGATTTCTATTTGTAGTGGGTTGTGATCGAGGACGTATATTGTATGTCTCGGAATCGGTATCAAATGTTTTGAATTATACACAAACAGATTTATTAGGACAGAGTTGGTTTGATGTTCTACATCCGAAAGATGTGGCCAAGGTTAAGGAGCAGTTGTCCTCGCTGGATCCGTGTCCGAGGGAAAGATTAATCGATGCTAAAAGTGAGTAGTTAGAGATTAATTATAGAGAAATATGGGTTTAACAAATATTTATTTCATAGCCATGCTTCCCGTTAAAACCGATATACCACAAAGTTTATGCCGCCTATGTCCGGGTGCCAGAAGATCCTTCTTTTGTCGCATGAAACTAAAAGCCGCCAGTAGTAGTCAGATTAAGGAAGAGTCTGATACATCGTCAAGTTCCCGCAGTTCCACCAGACGTAAATCGAAGTTAAGCATGGATGAGAAATATCGGGTAATACAATGTACCGGCTATTTAAAATCCTGGGCCCCCATCAAAGAAGAAAATCAAGATGCTGACAATGAAGATCAAATAACAAATCTCTCCTGCTTAGTGGCCATTGGACGCATACCCTCTAATGTCATGGAAGATAAATCAACATCCTCCCTGGATAATCATCCCAATGTAAGGCATGTTAATTTTCTATCCCGACACTCGGTGGATGGTAAATTTTTGTTTATCGATCAAAGGTTAGAGTTAAAACTTTTCATTTAAAACTCTTATTAAGTTGTTATTTGCTTTTTATACATAGAGCCACTTTGGCGGTGGGTTTTTTACCTCAAGAAATCTTGGGCAGTAGTTTCTACGAATATTTTCATCCCGAGGATATACCCGCCTTGGCTGAATCCCATAAAATGGTTTTACAGGTGGCCGAAAAAGTCACAACCCAAGTTTATCGTTTTCGCTGCAAGGACAATCGTTTTATACAACTGCAAAGTGAATGGCGTGCATTTAAAAATCCTTGGACCACAGAAATTGAATATATAATGGCTAAGAATTCGGTATTTTTATAAGCATTTAGAATGAAGTATTCCGTAAATATTTTTTTAATCTCGATCAAAAAATAAATCCTATAGATGTGTGAGTGTGAAAGAAAATGAAATGAAAAATGGAGATTTATTCTGGAAAGTAAAACGCGGAACCGTAAGTAAGTCAATTAATTTTAAAATGCAGACTACAGTAGACTTTGACTAGACTATAGACTAGACTTTGACTAGTCTATAGACTAGTCTATAGACTAGACTAAAGACTAGACTATAGACTAGAATATATACTAGACTATAGACTATACTATAGACTAGACTATAGACTAGACTATAGACTAGACTATAGACTAGACTATAGTCTATAGACTGGACTATAGACTAGACTATAAACTAGACAATAGACTAGACTATAGACTAGACTATAGTCTAGTCTATAGTCTAGTCTAGTCTATAGTCTATAGTCTATAGTCTATAGTCTATAGTCTATAGTCTATAGTCTATAGTCTAGTCTATAGTCTAGTCTATAGTCTAGTCTATAGTCTATAGTCTAGTCAAGTCTAGTCTATGGTCTAGTTTATAGTCTAGTCTATAGTCTAGTCTATAGTCTAGTCTATAGTCTAGTCTATAGTCTAGTCTATAGTCTAGTCTATAGTCTAGTCTATAGTCTAGTCTATAGTCTAGTCTATAGTCTAGTCTATAGTCTAGTCTATAGTCTAGTCTATAGTCTAGTCTATAGTCTAGTCTATAGTCTAGTCTATAGTCTAGTCTATAGTCTAGTCTATAGTCTAGTCTATAGTCTAGTCTATAGTCTAGTCTATAGTCTAGTCTATAGTCTAGTCTATAGTCTAGTCTATAGTCTAGTCTATAGTCTAGTCTATAGTCTAGTCTATAGTCTAGTCTATAGTCTAGTATATAGTCTAGTCTATAGTCTAATCTATAGTCTAGTCTATAGTCTAGTCTATGTTCTAGGTTATATTCTAATTTATGAGCGGATGCTTTTTGGGTTAAACTTTAAAACAAGTTTATTGTTCATACGATCCCCTTTAAGAAAACTATCATGAACGCATCGATATATGGACTAATATATTCTAATGCTGTTTTTCAGAGGGAAAATAGTAAATATTTATATAGAAATTACGATTATTTTTAAACAATTGCAATAAACATGAATGATAAATAGAAACGAAACATTGTATGCAAGTGGCCAGATATGGTGCCACTGCTGAGTATACAGTTTAATAACAATAATATAATAATTTATATAAACGACTTGAAGGTGCCCTATAACTTATACATAGAAACGAAACATTGTATGCAAGTGGCCAGTGACCATAGACTAGACTATAGACTAGACTATAACTAGACTATAGACTAGACTAGACTTGACTAGACTTGACTAGACTTGACTAGACTTGACTAGACTTGACTAGACTTGACTAGACTTGACTAGACTTGACTAGACTTGACTAGACTTGACTAGACTTGACTAGACTTGACTAGACTTGACTAGACTTGACTAGACTTGACTAGACTTGACTAGACTTGACTAGACTTGACTAGACTTGACTAGACTTGACTAGACTTGACTAGACTTGACTAGACTTGACTAGACTTGACTAGACTTGACTAGACTTGACTAGACTTGACTAGACTTGACTAGACTTGACTAGACTTGACTAGACTCGACTAGACTTGACTAGACTTGACTAGACTATAGACTATGGACTAGACTATAGACTAGACTATAGACTAGACAGTAGACTAGACTGTAGACTAGACTAGACTGCAGACTATAGACTAGACTATAGACTAGACTATAGACTAGACTAGACTAGACTAGACTATAGACTAGACTATAGACTAGACTATAGACTAGACTATAGACTAGACTATAGACTAGACTATAGACTAGACTATAGACTAGACTATAGACTAGACTATAGACTAGACTATAGACTAGACTATAGACTAGACTATAGACTAGACTATAGACTAGACTATAGACTAGACTATAGACTAGACTATAGACTAGACTATAGACTAGACTATAGACTAGACTATAGACTAGACTATAGACTAGACTATAGACTAGACTATAGACTAGACTATAGACTAGACTATAGACTAGACTATAGACTAGACTATAGACTAGACTATAGACTAGACTATAGACTAGACTATAGACTAGACTATAGACTAGACTATAGACTAGACTATAGACTAGACTATAGACTAGACTATAGACTAGACTATAGACTAGACTATAGACTAGACTATAGACTAGACTATAGACTATAGACTAGACTATAGATTAGACTATAGACTAGACTATAGACTAGACTATAGACTAGACCATAGACTAGCCTATAGACTATGCTATAGACTAAACTATGGCCTATGCTATAGACCAGACTATAGACTAAGATATAGACTACATCAAAATTATGCGTTAATTTTCAATAGCTAAAACGGGGTCTCAGGGAATGTATTGCAGGAATTGCAACAAGTTGCTTATTACTTTTTTAATAAATACAATGTATTTGTAGATAAATATTTTGCTTAAATTACTATTACGCAAACCAGAACAATGGCTAAAGTAGCGATGTTATAAAAATATAAATATTGATCAATAATGGCTCCACGTTGAACTAAATAAACTCTTGGTTAAATAGTTTTGCGTTGTAACTAGTTTTCCTATATTTACCTCAGTGCAATTGAAAACAAAATAAATGTCAAATAAAATACTGAAAAATAAAACTACAGACATACATACGTACACAAGAAATATTAACACAGTTCCTTTTGAATGCAACCACCTTATTTGAGGTTTTCAAAATTGGTCTACCTGACCTAATAAGAGTTTTTGATTTTTATTGTTATTTAGCAGATTTTCAAAAATAAATATTAATTTTTAACGAATATAGCTTTTTTAAGTTAATCTTGCTAGTGTTAAGTGGTAACAGTAAACACCTCTAGTGAGAGTTATCGCAGCAAAAAAACACAGTAGTCGATTAACGATATCACAGTTTATGATTTACAACTTCAGTGATAAAACTAATTTCACTTTTCGATAACTGAAAAGATTTCTTTCAAACTAAACACGTGTTTAGATGAGCTATTGTCAAGTAGTTGGTGTGTTCGGTTTTTGGGAGGTCATTTTTAAATAAGTATATGTATAAGTTATAGGGCACTTTCAATTCGTTTATATAAATTATTACATTATTGTTATTAAACTGTATACTCAGCAGTGGCACCATATCTGGCCACTTGCATACAATGTTTCGTTTCTATTTATCATTCATGTTTATTGCAATTGTTTAAAAATATTCGTAATTTCTATATAAATATTTACTATTTTCCCTCTGAAAAACAGCACTAGAATTAGTCGATATATCGATGCGTTCATGATAGTTTTCTTAAAGGGGATCGTATGAACAATAAACTCTCTTTAAAGTTGAACCCAAAAAGCACCCGCTCATAAACTAGAATATAACCTAGACCATAGAATAGACTGTAGACTAGGATATAGATTAGACTATAGACTATATTATAGACTAGACTATAGACTATATTATAGACTAGACTAGACTAGACTATAGACTAGACTATAGACTAGACTATAGACTAGACTATAGACTAGACTATAGACTAGACTATAGACTAGACTATAGACTAGACTATAGACTAGACTATAGACTAGACTGTAGACTAGACTATAGACTAGACTATAGACTAGACTATAGACTAGACTATAGACTAGACTATAGACTAGACTATAGACTAATAGACTAGACTATAGACTAGACTATAGACTAGACTATAGACTAGACTATAGACTAGACTATAGACTAGACTATAGACTAGACTATAGACTAGACTATAGACTAGACTATAGACTAGACTAGACTACTATAGACTAGACTATAGACTAGAATATAGACTAGACTATATACTAGACTATAGACTAGACTATAGACTAGACTATAGACTAGACTATAGACTAGACTATAGACTAGACTAGACTATAGACTAGACTATAGACTAGACTATAGACTAGACTATAGACTAGACTATAGACTAGACTATAGACTAGACTATAGACTAGACTATAGACTAGACTATAGACTAGACTATAGACTAGACTATAGACTAGACTATAGACTAGACTATAGACTAGACTATAGACTAGGCTATAGACTAGACTATAGACTAGACTATAGACTATAGACTAGAATATAGACTAGACTATAGACTAGAATATAGACTAGACTATAGATTAGACTATAGACTAGAATATAGACTAGACTATAGACTAGAATATAGACTAGACTATAGACTAGACTATAGACTAGACTATAGACTAGACTATTGACTACACTATAGACTAGACTATAGACTAGGCTATAGACTAGACTATAGACTAGACTATAGACTAGACTATAGACTAGACTATAGACTAGACTATAGACTAGACTATAGACTAGACTATTGACTAGACTATAGACTAGACTATAGACTAGACTATAGACTAGACTATAGACTAGACTATAGACTAGACTATAGACTAGACTATAGACTAGACTATAGACTAGACTATAGACTAGACTATAGGCTAGACTATAGACTAGACTATAGACTAGACTATAGACTAGACTATAGACTAGAATATAGACTAGACTATAGACTTGACTATAGACTTGACTATAGACTAGACTATAGACTAGACTATAGACTAGACTATAGACTTGACTATAGACTAGGCTATAGACTAGACTATAGACTAGACTATAGACTAGACTAGACTATAGACTAGACTAGACTATAGACTAGACTATAGACTAGACTATAGACTAGACTATACACTAGACAATAGCCTAGACTATAGACTAGACTATAGACTAGACTAAAGAATTGACTATAGACTAGACTAGGCTATAGACTACACTATAAATTAGACTATAGACTAGACTATAGACTACAGTATAGACTAGACTATAGACTACACTACAGACTAGACTATAGACTACAATATAGACTAGGCTATAGACTACACTATAAACTAGACTATAGACTAGACTATAGACTACACTATAGACTAGACTATAGACTACACTATAGACTAGACTAGACTGTAGACTAGACTATAGACTAGACTATAGACTACACCATAGACTAGACTAGACTACAGACTAGACTAGACAAGACTATAGACTATAAAGTAGACTATAGACTAGACTATAGACTAGACTATAGACTATACTATAGACAAGACTATAGACTAGACTATAGAATAGACTATAGACTAGACTATAGACTAGACTATAGACTAGACTATAGACTAGACTATAGACTAGACTATAGACTAGACTATAGACTAGACTATAGACTAGACTATAGACTAGACTATAGACTAGACTATAGACTAGACTATAGACTAGACTATAGACTAGACTATAGACTAGACTATAGACTAGACTATAGACTAGACTATAGACTAGACTATAGACTAGACTATAGACTAGACTATAGACTAGACTATAGACTAGACTATAGACTAGAATATAGACTAGACTATAGACTAGACTATAGACTAGAATATAGACTAGACTATAGACTAGACTATAGACTTGACTATAGACTAGGCTATAGACTAGACTATAGACTAGACTATAGACTTGACTATAGACTAGGCTATAGACTAGACTATAGACTAGACTAGACTATAGACTAGACTAGACTATAGACTAGACTATAGACTAGACTATACACTAGACAATAGCCTAGACTATAGACTAGACTATAGACTAGACTAAAGAATTGACTATAGACTAGACTAGGCTATAGACTACACTATAAATTAGACTATAGACTAGACTATAGACTACAGTATAGACTAGACTATAGACTACACTATAGACTAGACTATAGACTACAATATAGACTAGGCTATAGACTACACTATAAACTAGACTATAGACTAGACTATAGACTACACTATAGACTAGACTATAGACTACACTATAGACTAGACTATAGACTAGACTATAGACTAGACTATAAACTAGACTATAGACTAGACTATAGACTACACCATAGACTAGACTAGACTATAGACTAGACTAGACAAGACTATAGACTATGAAGTAGACTATAGACTAGACTATAGACTAGACTATAGACTAGACTATAGACTAGACTATAGACTAGACTATAGACTAGACTATAGACTAGACTATAGACTAGACTATAGACTAGACTATAGACTATACTATAGACAAGACTATAGACTAGACTATAGACTATACTATAGACAAGACTATAGACTAGACTATAGACTAGACTATAGACTAGACTAGAGACTAGACTATAGACTAGAATATAGAATAGACTATAGACTAGACTATAGACTAGAATATAGAATAGACTATAGACTAGACTATAGACTAGATTGTAGACTTGATTGTTGACTAGACTATAGACTATACGACTGTAGATTAGACGACTATAGGCTAGACGACTATAGACTAGACGACTATAGACTAGACGACTATAGACTACACGACTATAGACTAGACGATTGCAGACTAGACGACTATAGACTAGACGACTTTAGACTAGACGACTATGGACTGGACGACTATAGACTAGACGACTATAGACTAGACGACTATAAACTAGACGACTATAGACTAGACGACTATAGACTAGACGACTATATACTAGACGACTATAGACTAGACGACTATAGACTAGACGACTAAAGACTAGACGACTATAGACTAGACGACTATAGACTAGACGACTGTAAACTAGACGACTATAGACTAGACGACTATAGACTAGACGACTATAGACTGGACGACCATAGACTAGACGACTATAGACTAGACGACTATAGACTAGACGACTATAGACTAGACGACTATAGACTAGACGACTATAGACTAGACGACTATAGACTAGACGACTATGGACTATACGACTGTAGACTAGACGACTATAGACTAGACGTCTATAGACTAGACTACTATAGACTAGACGACTAAAGACTAGACGACTATAGACTAGACGACTATAGACTAGACGACTATAGACTAGACGACTATAGACTAGACGACTATAGACTAGACGACTATAGACTAGACGACTATAGACTAGACGACTATAGACTAGAAGACTATAGACTAGACGTCTATAGACTAGACGACTATGGACTAGACGACTGTAGACTAGATGACTATAGACTAGACGTCTATAGACAGCCCTAACTATAGATTAAACTGACCCAGACTATAGATTAGACTATACTCCAGACTATATATTAGTCCAGATTATTTACTAGGCTCCATATTTGTACTATATTCCAGATCATAGCTATTGCATTAAATAGGCTTAACTGTAGCTCAAACTATAGACTACACCATTTTAAGATAAAATACTAGATTGTAGTCTAACTAAACTCGAGACCAATGGATTGTAACCCATTCTTGTTAGAAATTGCTCACTTATAAATATTGAATTAAACAACTTTCGAATATTGATTTTTTTGTATAATACTTTATTAAATTCATTTTTATTTAAATTTTAACTTAAATTAATTAAAAGAAAACTGTATAACACTAAACTTAAATAATTCTAGTAACTAAATTTTGATTAAAAATTATAAATTTGAATGCCTCACATGCTGCAATATCCAATAACTACACTCTCTACGTTTCTCTTTTAACGAATTTAATTTTATAAGGTTTAGGTGATAAAGTAATACCCGGTAAGAGATTCAAAGAGGGTTTATCCTCCTCCTTATCGCTCAAAACCAATTCGAAAGTTTGACAGATTCTAACGAGTACCGAAAATAGACAGGCTCTAGCCATGGCATCACCCAAACAGCGTCTTCGTCCCTGACCGAAAGGCATAAAATATTCATCCTTAAATGTTTTACCCTCGGCATCTATGAAACGTTCGGGTCTAAAGTTGTGGGGATCTTTCCAGTGTTCATCGTCCATTAGTACCGAACGTAGGCCTATCAGTATAGTGGTATTTTTGGGTATATCATAACCAGCCAACTTGGTATCCCATAGAGCTCTTCTGGGACCTGTTATGGGTACTATATGATAAAATCTTTGCACTTCCATTATAAAAGCATCCATATAGGGATAAAAGGACTTAGAACTTAAATGGGGAAATTCGGTATTCTGCATATTAGCCACAATCTCGTCATAAACCAATTTTTGTATCTCAGGACGCATGGCCAAAGTCATTAGAGCCAAATCCGTGGTGGTACTGGTGGTCTGAGAACCCGCTATAAAGAAGTCCAATATAGTCATGGTAAGTTGTGTCTCATTAAAGGTGGAGTTCTCATTATCCTTATTAGTTTCCTGTTGCATTTCCCGGATATAGGCATAAATCAAATCATTATCGGCATTTTCTTTAGTCAAAGTAGCTTTGTGTTCATTTATGCTTTCCATAAAGAAATTAAACAATTCATTGTTTAATTGTCTAATCAAATTGTAACCAGTTCTATCGGGAGCCACAAATCTCAACCAGGGAAATTGTGTCAAAACACCACCAGACATATCGAAAACTTTCGATCTACGATTCATTAAATCCAACAACTTAACTAAACGTTTATCGTCGCGTTTAAAACGTTTACCTGCTGTCATGGACCATAAAACATTTATAACACTTTGGGCCAAGAAGGAACCCGGCCAAACAGGTTGTCCCTTAAACTCTTCTATAAATTGTATTAAACTCTCCGTTTCCTTTTCAATATGTTGCTCCATTTGAGTGCGTCCATAGCCTACATGACGCATTTGTTTCATGGCAAAATTACGATGTTCATACCACAACTGGCCATCGGTACAAGTGATGCCCTTGCGCGTGCCCATGGTGCGCAATCTTAAGAAGAAGGTATCAGGTCTGCCCTCAAAAACTTCTTGTAGATGAACTTCTTTGACCAGGGGATATGAGAGTGCAACCACTACTAGTTCACGTCCCAGTTTGATACCCAATATATTGGAATTGTAGCGCTTAGACCAATTTTCAAATGCCTTATGTTGTCCCCCCGCTGATACAGCTTCTTTGCGCAATTGTATGGTATTACCAACAAAGGGTACAAAATCGGGGCCTAAAAAGGGAAAAAAAAAAACGTTGAAATTGTTTGATTTAGTTGTTATTATAATTTAAAATCCAGAACTTAAATAATTAAATTTAAAATCAAGAACTTAAATAAAGTTATTAGTCTAGACTACACGGTAGTTAAGCCTATATTCCAGTCTAGACTATGATTTAGTCTATGGTCTCGTCTATAGTCTAGTCCTTATTCTTGTCAATAGCATATGGTCTGGTTTGTAATCTAGGTAATATATGGTCTCGTCTACAGTTTAGTCTCGATTTAGTCTTATTTATTATCAAGTCTGTATTCTAGTCAATGGTTTAGTTTAAAGTCTAATCTGCAGATTAGCTTATAGTTTAGTATATAATACAGTCTATAACTTAGTTTGTACTTTAGTCTATAGTTAATTTATAATCAAGACTAAAGTCTAGTCTATAGTCTAGTCAATAGTCTAGTCAATAGTCTAGTCTATAGTCTATACTATAGTCTAGCCTATAGTCTATACTATAGTTTAGACTATTCTATAGTCTAGTCTATAGTCTAGTCTAGTCTGTAGTCTAGTTTAGTCTAGTCTAGTCTGTAGTCTAGTCTAGTTTAGTCTAGTTCAGTCCAGTCTAGTCTAGTTCAGTCTAGCCTAGCCTAGTCTAGTCTAGTCTTGTCTATATTCTATAGTCTAGTCTAGTCTATAGTCCAGTCTATAGTCTAGTCTATAGTGTAGTCTATAGTGTAGTCTATAGTCTAGTCTATAGTGTAGTCTATAGTGTAGTCTATAGTCTAGTCTATAGTCTAGTCTATAGTCTTGTATATAGTCTAGTCTATAGTCTAGTCTATGGTCTAGTCTATGGTTTAGTCTATAGTCTATAGTCTAGTCTATAGTCTTGTATATAGTCTAGTCTATAGTCTAGTATATAGTCTAGTCTACGGTCTAGTCCATAGTCTAGTCTAGTATATAGTCTAGTATAAAGTCTAGTATATAGCCTAGTCTATAGTCTAGTCTATAGTCTAGTCTATAGTCTAGTCTATAGTCTAGTCTATAGTCTAGTCTATAGTCTAGTCTATAGTCTAGTCTATAGTCTAGTCTATAGTCTAGTCTATAGTCTAGTCTATAGTTTAGTCTATAGTCTAGTCTATAGTCTAGTCTATAGTCTAGTCTATAGTCTAGTCTATAGTCTAGTCTAGTCTAGTCTAGTCTAGTCTAGTCTACTCTAGTCTAGTCTAGTCTAGTCTAGTCTAGTCTAGTCTAGTCTATAGTCTAGTCTATAGTCTAGTTAGTCTAGTCTAGTCTAGTCTAGTAGTCTAGTCTAGTCTAGTCTAGTCTAGTCTAGTCTAGTCTAGTCTAGTCTAGTCTAGTCTAGTCTAGTCTATATTCTAGTCTAGTCTATAGTCTAGTCTAGTCTATAGTCTAGTCTAGTCTATAGTCTAGTCTAGTCTATAGTCTAGTCTAGTCTATAGTCTAGTCTATAGTCTAGTCTATAGTCTAGTCTATAGTCTAGTCTATAGTCTAGTCTATAGTCTAGTCTATAGTCTAGTCTATAGTCTAGTCTATAGTCTAGTCTATAGTCTAGTCTATAGTCTAGTCTATAGTCTAGTCTATAGTCTAGTCTATAGTCTAGTCTATAGTCTAGTCTATAGTCTAGTCTATAGTCTAGTCTATAGTCTAGTCTATAGTCTAGTCTATAGTCTAGTCTATAGTCTAGTCTATAGTCTAGTCTATAGTCTATAGTCTAGTCTATAGTCTAGTCTATAGTCTAGTCTATAGTCTAGTCTATAGTCTAGTTTATAGTCTAGTCTATAGTCTAGTCTATAGTCTAGTCTATAGTCTAGTTTATAGTCTAGTCTATAATCTAGTCTATTATCTTCTCTATAGTCTAGTATGTAGTCTAGTCAATATTATAGTCTATAGTCTAGTCTATTATCTGGTACATTATCTAGTCTATAGTCTAGTCTATTATCTTGTCTATAGTCTAGCATGTGGTCTATACTGTATTATAGTCTAATCTATTATCTAGTTTATAGTCTAGTCTGTAGTCTAGTGTAGTCTATAGTCTAGTCTATAGTGTAATCTAGTCTATAGTCAATAGTCTAATCTAAAGCCTAGTCTATAGTCTAGACTATACTCTAGTCTAGTCTATAATTTAGTCTATAGTCTAGTTTATCGTCTAGTCTATATTCCAGGTGTTAGTTTAGTTTATAGTCTAGTCTATAGTCTAGTTTTAATCCAGTTTAAAATTTAGTTTATAGTCCAGTCAATATTATAAATTAATATTAACTATAGTTTGATCTAGTTGCGTCAGCCAATCATGAAGAAGCTAAACGCTATATATGTACATCGGAACTAAACCAATTCTAATACTTAACTGTTTTAATAGCTTTAAAAAAGTGCTAAATTTTTAATAGTTTTATGTGTTAGCACATGATTAATAATAATAATTTAACGCTTTAATGTTAAGTGATTATTAAACATTATTTCGATACCTAGTATAGTTAGAGCACAACATTTTTGGATTGATGTTTGAAAACCGGCTACCCAACCTCTTTAGTGAGGGATTTGCTAGTCTATGATCGATTCTAAGGCTTATTGATAAGTTTGTTGACTACTCAATGGACTAATCTATTGACTGGTCTAAGCACTATTTATTGAATTCTCTAAGGACTAGAGTCTATGAACTATCCCATGGACAAGTCTATAGAATAGTGTATTTTATGTAGAAATCCATAGAGCAATCTTTTGTCTATTGTATGGATTACTTATGAAAGTTTGTAATAAAAAATATTAGGGGTGCTGCGCTAATTTGCGCTGTCAAAAAGTATTGAAAAAGTTCTAAATTTTCCTCCACTGATAAAACCGCTTTGTTGTAATTCCCCAAAAGATATGCAATAATTTGTTTGTAATCATTATTTATATTATTAGCAAAAAAAAACTTCAAACAACTTTAAACATTATTGGGAATATCCCTGACTGATAAAACTAGATCCGCTATTCACTTTATTAAGTAATTCATACATGTTCATTCAAGATTTGTTTTATAAACCTTTTCTAAAAGATTACGGCATATTCTGAGGTCATATTTGGATGCAGTTCTGTTATATAAAAACTTATAACCTTACACCCTTGAACCCATTAATAAGTTCCGGCAAACCTTTTTTAATAGAAAATCTTAAGCCGTCTCTGTTTTACAACTTATATAACACAGAATGCGAGCGTTAACTTTTAACTCGTGTGTGGGTAATTGGGTGTCGTATTACCATAAAACGTTTTGTTTAGGAAATATGCCGCCATAAATGTAAAATTAATCGAATGACTTGTAAAGTTTATTGAAAAATTAAATTAATAAAATCACTGTAAACGTCTAATATGCCCAATTAGTTATAACAAATGTCAGACAAGTCAATCAAAAATTTGCATGACATTTTTATGACAAACTGTTTTAAATAATAAATGAAAACATGTGTAGTCTATATCTAGATATAAAATTTCAATTAGATACTTTAGGAATTTCCTTTAAAGGGAAATTATATTATTTTTTGTTGTCAAATTTTGAATCTTTTAAACTCACCTGGTGGATAATTTTCGGGTCTTTTCATGGATTTATATAAATAGTAACCCACATAGCCCAGTATTAGGGAAATGAAAAATATTAAAGCATTCATATTGTTGTTGCTATTATTCTTTAAAAGTTTATTTAAACACTTTTCTTTCTTTTTTTTTCTTAAATTTTTATATAATTTCTTTTTATTTTACTTTAAAAAACTTATTTCTTTTTTAGCACCGGATTTAGCGCACACACGCGTTTTATTTTATTATCAAGAAGATTTATTTTAGTTGACGTCTCGCGAAGAGTATTTCCCTCGTACTAAAACTGGATTTGAAAAAGTTCCCAGCAATTGTAAATGTTCTAACGTTGAACGACTTTTATTTATAATTGTCGACAAAATTTCAACAACGATTTCAACCCATACGAATTTATTGCTCTTCTTTACGGTTCTCCAACTTGTAGTAGGCAATTGTTATTGTTATTGTAGTGTAATGTTTTTTTATTTAAATAATGTTTCTTTATTTGTTTTTGTTTTATTCTCAAATACAATGTTTTGCCTCTATTGTTGTTGACTATAGTGTGGACTTACGTATAATGATCGTGATCGTTAACATAAAAACTATTTAATCGAGTTTCTCTCATAACTATTATTAAGACTGTGAGATCGGGATGAGTAGCAGGGTTGGAGAATGTACTTTTTATGTCTAATACACAATTTTTTATAGAATAGACTGTTATAGTTTTGCTATATTTTGGTATATTGTTCGGCTAAAATCTGGACTATAGTCTGGTCTATAATTCACCTAAAGTCAGGCTATAATCTGAACTATAGTTAGGTTACAGTCTTGCTACAAATTCTGAACTATAGTTAGGTTACGGTTTTGGTGCAAATTGGCAAAAATAGTGTGTCTGATCTATAGTCTGGTCTAGTGTAGAGACTATGGTAGTTTTTAATCTGAACTATAATCTATATTCTGAGGGGATATTTGGTCTACAGCCTGCTTTATAATTTAGTCTATAGTCTGGTCTATACTCTGGTCTATAGCCTTGACTATAATCTCGACTATAGTCAAGACAATACACTGGACTATAGTCTTGGTTGTGGTATGAACTACAGCCATGACTATTGACTCGACTATAAGTTTGCAATATACATTTTTCTTTAGTCTTGTATATGATCTCAATAAAACCGTTCTATAGTCCATTCTATAAAGGCAAAATCTAATTGCGAAATTGTAAAAGTACATATTTTTATCACACAACAATTTCAAATATGTATGTACCGTTCTATCCATCTCTGGCTGAGTACATACATTACTTATTGTACTGCAGCACATGTTTGCCATTCAAAATCGCTGAGTGCGTATTTATGGGTTTTCTCCTCAGTAAGTTCATTATCAAATTGTGATAAAATTACTTTTATTTTTTATGTTTGCTTTTTTCTCTTTATTCTTAAATAATTGAACACTCTTTTGACGATCAAAATGTATTATGTAGTAATTGTGTGCGAGGGTAGTTTAAAAAGTAAAAATAAAACATTCTTTAATGAATAATATAATGAAATCGTTAATGTAGACATATTCGACAATAGTCCAGACTGTAGACTATAGACTAGACTATAGAGTAGACTATAGACTAGACTTAAGACTAGACTATAAATTATACTATAAACTACACTATAGACTAGACTATAGACTAGACTATAGACTAGACCATAGACTAAACTATAGAATAGACTACAGACTATTCTATATTCTAGACTAGCCTATAGTCCAGTCTATAGTCTTGTCTATAGTCTAGTCTATAGTCCAGTCTATAGTCTTGTCTATAGTCCAGTCTATAGTCTAGTCTATAGTCTTGTCTATAGTCTAGCCTATAGTATATTCTATAGTCTAGTCTATAGTCTAGTCTATAGTCTAGTCTATAGTATAGTCTATAGTCTAGTCTATAGTCTAGTCTATAATCTAGTCTATAGTCTAGTCTATAGTCTAGCCTATAGTCTAGTATATAGTTTAGTCTATAGTCTAGTCTATAGTCTAGTCTATAGTCTAGTCTATAGTCTAGTCTATAGTCTAGTCTATAGTCTAGTCTATAGTCTAGTCTATAGTCTAGTCTATAGTCTAGTCTATAGTCTAGTCTGTAGTCTAGTCTATATTCTTGTCTATAGTCTAGTATATATTCTAGTCTATAGTCTAGTCCATAGTCTAGTATATAATCTAGTCTATAGTATAGTCTATAGTGTAGTCTATAGTGTAGTCTATAGTCTAGTCTATAGTCTAGTCTATAGTCTAGTCTATAGTCTAGTCTATAGTCTAGTCTATAGTCTAGTCTATAGTCTAGTTTATAGTCTAGTCTATAGTCTCGTCTATAGTCTAGTCTATAGTCTAGTCTATAGTCTAGTCTATAGTCAAGTTTATAGTCTAGTCTATAGTCTAGTCTATAGTCTAGTTTATAGTCTAGTCTATAGTCTAGTCTATAGTCTAGTCTATAGTCTAGTCTATAGTCTAGTCTATAGTCTAGTCTATAGTCTAGTCTATAGTCTAGTCTATAGTCTAGTCTATAGTCTAGTCTATAGTCTAGTCTATAGTCAAGTCTATAGCCTAGTCTATAGTCTGGTCTATATTCTAGTCTATAGCCTAGTTTATAGTCTAGTCTATAGTCTAGTCTATAGTCTAGTCTATAGTCTAGTCTATAGTCTAGTCTATAGTCTAGTCTATAGTCTAGTCTATAGTCTAGTCTATAGTCTAATCTATAGTCTAGTCTATAGTCTAGTCTATAGTCTAGTCTATAGTCTAGTCTTAGTCTAGTCTATAGTCTAGTCTATAGTCTAGTCTATAGTCTAGTCTATAGTCTAGTCTATAGTCTAGTCTATAGTCTAGTCTATAGTCTAGTCTATAGTCTAGTCTATAGTCTAGTCTATAGTCTAGTCTATAGTCTAGTCTATAGTCTAGTCTATAGTCTAGTCTATAGTCTAGTCTATAGTCTAGTCTATAGTCTAGTCTATAGTCTAGTCTATAGTCTAGTCTATAGTCTAGTCTATAGTCTAGTCTATAGTCTAGTCTATAGTCTAGTCTATAGTCTAGTCTATAGTCTAGTCTATAGTCTAGTCTATAGTCTAGTCTATAGTCTAGTCTAGTCTAGTCTATAGTCTAGTCTATAGTCTAGTCTATAGTCTAGTCTATAGTCTAGTCTATAGTCTAGTCTATAGTCTAGTCTATAGTCTAGTCTATAGTCTAGTCCAGGTAGTCTAGTCTATAGTCTAGTCTATAGTCTATCTATAGTCTAGTCTATAGTCTAGTCTATAGTCTAGTCTATATCTAGTCTATAGTCTAGTCTATAGTCTAGTCTATAGTCTAGTCTATAGTCTAGTCTAGTCTATCTATAGTCTAGTCTATAGTCTAGTCTATAGTCTAGTCCTATAGTCTAGTCTATAGTCTAGTCTATAGTCTAGTCTATAGTCTAGTCTATGTCTAGTCTAGTCTCGTATAGTCTAGTCTATAGTCTAGTCTATAGTCTAGTCTATAGTCTAGTCTATAGTCTAGTCTATAGTCTAGTCTATAGTCTAGTCTATAGTCTAGTCTATAGTCTAGTCCTATAGTCTAGTCTATAGTCTAGTCTATAGTCTAGTCTATAGTCTAGTCTATAGTCTAGTACTAGTCTAGTCTATAGTCTAGTCTATAGTCTAGTCTATAGTCTAGTCTATAGTCTAGTCTATAGTCTAGTCTATAGTCTAGTCTATAGTCTAGTCTATAGTCTAGTCTATAGTCTAGTCTATAGTCTAGTCTATAGTCTAGTCTATAGTCTAGTCTATAGTCTAGTCTATAGTCTAGTCTATAGTCTAGTCTATAGTCTAGTCTATAGTCTAGTCTATAGTCTAGTCTATAGTCTAGTCTATAGTCTAGTCTATAGTCTAGTCTATAGTCTAGGTCTATAGTCTAGTCTATAGTCTAGTCTAGAGTCTAGTCTATAGTCTAGTCTATAGCCTAGTCTATAGTCCTATAGTCTAATCTATAGTCTAATCTATAGTCTAGTCTATAGTCTAGTCTATAGTCTAGTCTATAGTCTAGTCTATAGTCTAGTCTATAGTCTAGTCTATAGTCTAGTCTATAGTCTAGTCTATAGTCTAGTCTATAGTCTAGTCTATAGTCTAGTCTATAGTATAGTCTATAGTCTAGTCTATAGTCCAGTTTATATTCTAGTCTATAGTGTAGTATATAGTCTAGTCTATAATCTAGTCTATAGTTTAGTAAAAAGTATAGTCTAGTCTATAGTTTGCTCTATAGTCTAGTGCTAAATTAATTTATTATTTTAAATCTAAAAAGTACAAATTTTGTTACAAGTTAGTAAAATTTCAATTTTCCATACCTGGTATTTAGATTACGTATCATTATTTTTCTGTTTTTGTTGTTGTAGTTGTTTCCTTATTTCACAGCTGTAACACAGTAATAACATTTTCCTCACATTTTGTTTACATACGATTTCTTTTTTAAATAATTGTAATAACAATAACATATTAATGATTTTCTAATATACATAAGTATACCCCTTCTTAAACTCTCTTTCGTGTTTGGTTTCTTACAAATGGCCCTGGAAGCCAACCGCCTTCTAACAATTGCCTTAACAAATTTGGCAAAATTGCACATTCTTATTATTATTTTCTAACACTTTTTACACTAATTTCTAACACTTTTTTATAAATATTTTTTTATAGCGATACAAATTAATATTTGTTTAATATTATACAACAAACATATTTTATTATTAACAATTAATTAACGTTTTAGCTTAATTTAAACAGTAACATTAACCTTAAACAACCGAACACTTTAGAGATATTAAGAAAACTAATGAAATGGAACAATAACAAAAAGCATCCATCACTCATATTGCAGTTGTTGTTATTGTTATTTGGTATTTTCTCTTTAAATGGAGTACTAATAACAACAACAACAATGACAATTTCAATTATCATTTGTTGCTTTAGTTATTTGCCTTCTTCTTTAGTTGTTAAAAATTTCTAAAGTGTTCGGTTGTTTTGTGTTAATAGTCCTGCTTAAATTAAATCTTAAGCCTTAATTAATTGTTAATATTTAAATATTTTTGTTGAAAATTGTTTATAAATACCGTTATTGATAAATGTTTATAAAATAAGTGTTAAATTATTAGTGTAAAATAGTGTTTTAAAATTTGCCAAAAATTTATTGCAATTTTGTTAAGCCGAGCGCCGGTCGTTGGCTTTTTTTTTGTCGGGCCATTGGTTTTGTTAATTGATGAGAAAGCGTGCATCAAAGGAGGTAGTGGAAGAGTTTGGAAAGAAAAAAATTTGTTTATAAAAAAAGTCTGAGGGTAAAAGAAAAAAAAAAAATAGTGAAAAAAAGTTATGAAAAAGTGTT